AGGATGTAAAGGTCTTCCCACTTGAGGAGAAACAAGAGGAGGACACTGCCCCTCCCAAAAGAAGAGAGAGAAAGTATGAAAAACAAACATTCCAGAACTGACATATGTTTCCTCATTGAAAGTTCCTGCTGGTTGTCCAACACAATGAATAAAAGAGAGCTACCACCATGATACATCATCATAAAAATTCAGAATTCAGAAGATGAAGATAACTGAAAAGCTTTCTGGGGTGGGGATGAGGAGACAGAATCAGAATGGAATTAAACTTCTCAATAGCAACAATTAAACTAAGAGTTTGCCTCATATGTTTGACCATATTGATAATAGATTTACACTTACACAAAGGGTTTGGTAATAAATTAGTGCTTGGTAAATAGAAAGCAAATCAAAGAAAACCAATAGAATTATTTATCCTGGAAAAGAAAAACTTTTGAAAGAAATGAAATGTAACTATAGAACACCACATCATTCACCTGCAAAAATGTGTTCACAAAATTATGATAGCATAAACATTGAACATAAATATAACCATAAATTTTATATAACTATATTCAAATAAGGGTTTCTTATTTTTCTATTGTAGTTATGAAAAATTATCACAAACTTAGCATCTGATGAAGGTGTACATTTATTCTCTCATATTTATGTGGATCAGAAGTTCAGGCAAAGCTTAGTTGAGTCCTCTGCTCAGCATCTTACAAGTTGCAATCAAAGTGCCAGCTGGGCTGCATTCTCATCTGGTGGCTTAACTGGGGAAGAAGCCACTTCTAAGCTCATTCATATGGTTGACACAATGTATTTGTGTTGACTACAGGACTCAGAGTAGCTGCCTTCTTCAAAGCTAGGAAGAGACTTTGAAGATGAAGAGATGAATTTACTATTAAGATGAAATCTTATGCAATGTAACATAACCAAGGGAATAACATCTCCTCACCTTTGTCATAATCTATTGATTAGAAGCAAGCCCAAACTCAAAGGGAAGGGATTAAACAAGAAGTTAAATGCCAAGAGATGGAGATCATTGGGGCTGCCTTAAAGGCTAAAATGCCAAACACTGTATAATGGGCAAACTTTTCTTTTTCTGATACCCCATAGTCACATGGTCTGGTAGAATTAGAGATTTGGATAGAAGCTGAGCTGTTCCATTAAAACGAAAAAAAACTTCAGTAAATTTACAGAGTTGTGTAACCATTCTCAAAACCCAATTTTAGAACATTTCGATAGTATCAAAAAGATCCCTCATGCCCATTTACATTTAATTTCTGTTCTCATCCTCAGCCTCAGTCAACTACTAACGTGTTTTCTGTCTTTATAGATTTTTCCAAGCTCTTACAGCTTTTGACACCAAAATGAGCCAGTTCTTCTGCACCCCTTTCCTTTTTCTGCTCTAAGTTGCAAGGGGCTAACTCCTGCTGCCTGTATTCTTGAGGTCCCTGTATCACCAACTTCCCAAGCATCTCTTGAGGTTCTTCCATAAGTCTCCAACTGGCACTTGACAAGCCCATTGGAGTTTCAGCTTTCCTCAAAAAGCCTTGATTCCTAGCCTCCAAGAACAGCCTCCTCCCTTTCTGGCCCTGGGGGCAATGGTATGCTGGAGTTGGCTCTTGCTGACTCATGATAATCAATTGTTAAGTATTTGGGAATTTTGTAAGCCTGTTGTTAAACCATTGGTAGCTTAAAATTGAATACAGTAAGAGCATTTATATCGTGAAAAGCACTACAATCAGGATATTTTTGTTTTAGTTTTCAAAGCTAGTTTATTAGTACACCACTGCTTGGCTTCCACCATTTGCTAATTTCTGGATTATCTCCAATGTATTCAGCCTTCAAGATGTCTCCCAAATATCTTTGTATCATAATATTCACACCCTTATATAGTCCCTCCCTCCCATAGTAAATAGGGCTGAGTTGGGTAACCATTAGATTATTGCATAAATAATGATATTTGACTACCAAGGCTAGGTCACAAACAGCATAATGGCTTTTGCCTTACTCTCACTTGAATTACTCTCTTGGAGAAGTTAGCTGCTATGTTATAGTAGACTCAAGCAGCCCTGTGGAGAGGTCCACGTAGGAAGAAAATGGGGCCTCCAGCAACAAGTCATTTAATTGAACCAGCTTGGAAGTAGATCCTTCAGTCATGTTCAGCTTTCAAATAATTGCAGTTCAGATTGGCATCTTGACTGTAATCTAATGGCAGACTCTGAGATAGCACCAAACAGCAAAGCTGTCCTTGGACATGACCCACAGAAACTCTATGAGACAATGATTATTATCACTAAAGCCATAAGGTTTTAGTGTAAATAATTATGCAATAACAGATACCTAATGCAGATTTCCGTATAAAGAATTATGTGCTACCATAACATAAGCCTAAATTATGAAAGTGGCTTTGAAAATGGACAGTAGATGGCAGCTGGAGAGAATCTGAGAAAAACGTCAGTGAAATCCTGAAGCATCTTTAAGGGTCTACTAGCAGAATACTCTGTGAAGGCTGCAGGTGAGGGCTTAATAGCAGAGTAAAGAAACTATTACTGGAATCTGGTGAAGGAGATCCTTGTTATATAATGTCAGGAAGTTTAGAAGCACTGACCCATTTGATTATATGAGAAATGGGAAACATATCTAAAGATGAAGTCAAAGATGTGACTTCAGAAAGAGTCACACCAGTGCCTCAAAGAACCATTCAGTCAACTAACAGAGTTTCTAAGCAGCTGAAATTTGTTGACCCTCAGCAGTCTCAGCAGCAGCCCAAGGAAGAGAAAGCCTCATCTTAAAGAAATTCATGGATATACCTTGTGTCTTCTAATACCTTAGAAATAATAAACAAAAGGAGATCTTTGCTTCTTGGTCCCATAGCAGTGCTTACATCAATCCTGACTCAGTACATTGGCCTAGAGGCTTTGCAATCCCTGAGAGATTTTCATCTCAAAGATAACTGAACATTGTATACCCTAAGTGACTTCAGTGGGCATCTGGCCCAGAACAAGTCACTGTACCATAAATGGAAACTTTCTTCTCAAATATGCTTTTGGAAATGTGTTTTTAGCTTGTTATATAATCTAAATTCACTTGCAGAGGAGCTTCACTTCAACCATTGGCCATTCTTCCCTCAATGGTCCCATTTCCACATTAAAGGGAATGGACCCAGCTAGTATGGCAAAAGGGTCAATTCCTGACTACCATATTTTTTATGCACAAACACAAACTGGTATCCACAATGTTCCCAGAAATGACAAGAATAATGAGATAAAGAGGGAGTGTCAGGGAGATAGCAGATTAGGGGTTCTTGAAATTTTAAAAATAAACTGCCTTCACCCACATCCCCAGTGTCCCTCCCATACACTAGGAGTCCTTGAAAGAATAAATCAGCTTTGATCTAAGAAGAATAAAGCAATTCAGGGCAGTTTGAATTTCAGTGGATTAAGGGAGACATTTTCAGCAAATGTACAGCGAGAGTAGGGAGGCATTGTTTTGTCACAGCAAATCATTACAAAGAATAGAAAGTGTGCCTCAAACACCAAGATAGAAGGCTATTGCATGCAGGGTCAGTAAATTACCTAAACTGAGTATCTACTGTAGAACAGATGTCCAAACCTATTACTTTATTAAAATAGCAACTTAATCACCAGGTCTCTCTTTTAGAGAGTTAAATAAAAATGTTCCATGTGACTAACATAGCTTCTCTGAAAAGAGGATATCCTGTCCACAGGATACAGAGTTTCACAGACAAAAAATAATTTATAATTTTATAAATAAATTATGCAGAGATTTAAGTTGCCCAAAGATAGGCTCAAATAAGTGTGGAGGTTCACAGGTAGCTCATAGAACAAAGTGTAAGACCATGAGAGAGGACACCCCTGGGCTGCTCAGATCATTTGCACAGCATAAATAACGAATGATAGACATTTGGGAAAGCTTCTTTATGATATAAGCTTGTAAATTTTCTACAGATAGTAATAAGAGTCATAGTTAAGACTTAACTGAACGCTTCAATGAACTAAGATCAGGTACAAATCCATTAATTCTCACAACCACACAGTGAGATAAATGTTATAAGGATTCCCAGTTTGCATATAGAGAGAAACGTAGATGTTAAATAGCCAAACATCACATGGCTAGTATTATAAATGGCCAAGCCAAGTAAGTAACTTAAGCGCATGCTCTTAACCGCACCAGACAGGAACTTAAAATAAACATTGAGTAATTAAAAATAAAAATATGAAGCCATTTCTATAAATAATAATTAGGGCCGTTGTTTGAGAAGGCAGAAACCAGTATGAAGTACAAGGAAGATAAGAACTCTATAGCTTTCGTAACCATTGGAGGTAAATTTTAGTTAAGTTCACTGTGTAACTACAAACATTCATTTATTTATACACTGTTTGCCCTCATAAATCCTGTGTTCAAAACCATGCCAAGCATAAGCATCTTTATATCCAAAATAGATAACATAAGTACTGCTTAACTATACAGTAAAGATTATGCTGCCCAGAGAGGGCAAAACCAAGAAGGCAGCTACTCCTTGCAGGATGCTGTTTCCACAAAGTTTGGTTTTGTCTCAGAATGTGAAAGCAACGCAATCTAATCTGGTGTGACTGAAACAAAGTACTTAGTGCTCTAAGTTCATTTAACTGAATGTGCTTGGACCACTTACATGAAACATCCTAACCTATTTTTATTGATTATTTCCACTAGTGGCACTTGCTGAAGTTGAGCAGGAAATCTAAAAAAGTCTAAGTAAATTCCCAAATGAGATGGTTTTTGAGCTAACTTCAAAATTCATGACTCTATGATTCTAAGTTGTTGTTTCTCTAAAGAAACCTTCCAAACAAGTGAGACTGTTCTTTTAAATGTACCTGTCACAGTCTTCAAAATGTGCTTTCGTATATACCTTCCCTGACCTTGAAGATCACACCATTTCCTCTTACAATTGAATGGACAAGGGAGTAATACACGTTCTCAAAGAATCACTCTCAAGAGTTCATTTTACTTCCCAGATCTAACTGAGAGCGACTGAACAATTTGGAAAGTACCTGATATAACAGTTGAGTATTTTGGAGAAAATTCTGCCATGTGGAAAAGAAACTGCGAAAATGATTTCTATCCCATCCATTCTGTTTAAGAAAAAACAAAAAGGATTTTGGGGTGACCTTGATCTGATAGAATGGTGTGAATATTTCTTCATTGAGGGAGTAATATTGAATGTAGATTCTAGTGAACTATTAAACTTTCAAATGGGACACCCAGAGACTTAATAGACACATGAATGAAGGTTTCAATTCCTTTTCTATAAAATACTATGGATATGCTAATGCAAAACTTATACAAAACCAAACATCTAATTATTTTATTCTTTTTTCATAATATGCAACCATTGTTTGGTTGAATATTATGTCTCAGGTATTGAGCTAGGTACTAATAGCAATGACAACCATGAGCTAGTGAACTCTTTAAAGGTAAAAACTATAACTGACATTATTTTGTATCCCAAGTGTCTAATACATTGCTCTGAAATGTTTAATGAAATAAATGAAATAGATAAAAACTTTTCTAAGTTTTAAAACATCTGGCTATAATATTTTTATGATACACTAGATGGTGTGTAATAAACACCAGATTTCTTTTACAGATAGGTCTTAACTGGACCTTGAATCCTTTGACACAAGAAAGGAGAATCTAAAAAGTTGACAAGATTGGCCTCAGCAAGATGCAAACCTCAAGGCATATTAAGATGGATCAAATTCTCTTTTATCTTACTTAAAACATAAGTGCTTAAAAGAATGTGGCCTCAGGAGATTGACAGTAAGATATGAAAGTCCAGCTTAAGAGGTTGACTCTTGGCACTTCAGGATGCCAAAGCAGGGATATTGCCTGAGCTCAGGAGTTCGAGACCAGTCTGGGCAACGTGGTGAAACCCTGTTTCTACTAAAATACAAAAATTATCTGGGCATGTGGCTCACATTTGTAGTCCCAGCTACTTGGGAGGCTGAGGCACAAGAATTGCTTGAACCTGGGAGGTGGAGGCTGCAGTGAGCCAAGATCGCACCACTGCATTCCAGCCTTGTGACACAGTGAGACCCTGTCTAAAAAAAAAAAAAAAAAATTGACACTTGGGAGGACAGGTAGGATAAGCCCAATCCCGTATTGCCTCCTTTTTATGCTTGGGCTCTCATAGGAGGCCCAGATATCAGAGAAACCACTAAAGGAGCCAGAGTACAGCCAAGGGAACCCTGCCCAGAGATGAGGAGACATGGTAGGTATTAAGTGTGAATATTCTATGGACATAGAGAAGAAAAACCAAACGTTTGTAATTTTTTAAAGTGGGAGGAGTAAAGGTGAGCAATTGAAAGAAGTAAAAGGTCTCAACCATGACATTTCTCTGAAATGTGGATTTTTCTGGTTGGGGGGGATAGTAAAGCTTTATTGCAAAACTACTCATTCTTACTATTGTAAACTACAGTGCAAGTTTCTCTTTATCAGGTTGAGTCTTAAAGGGGTACAGAATTGAATATACACTGTGGGATTACTCATTAAGACATAGGAAATCTGAATTATACAGCATCTTTGCCCTGACTGTATTTATTTCTATACTTAAGATTTACACTCCATTGAACCCAAAATGACTGACAGCAATGTACTGGCTAATATACAATGTAACTCAACGAAAACCAGGATTTCATTCACCAAGAACAATTTCAAGGCAAAGATGCTCCTATGTACTTAAGTGAATGGATTGGGCAGACATTCCATTAAATTTCACAAAATGTAGTTCTAAACAGTCTAATACATTTAATAAAAATGGAAAAAAAACCATGAAGTCATAGAAGTCTTATTTCCTGTCATAAAGAACTTAAATCTAGGTGCAGTCAAAACTTACCTTAGATTTATAATCAAGAAAGAATTTATTTATCCTAGCAAAAAGGATGCTGTTTAACAACAGCATTATGGGTGGTATCTTTAGCCCACATTCTGCAAAAAAATAGAGAAAGGTTATTTTAAGCAGATAATTTTAATATCAAATCTTTATAAAATCATAGAGTATCATAAACTAAAAGTCACCTAGGAAACTTCTACAGAATAATCTAAATAATATAGTTCAAATAATTTGCTTGACTTAATACAGGGATAGAATATAAAGTCTCCAGTTCCACAGATAAATGACATATTTATTTAAATGTCAGCTGTCTTTGGAGAGCATTTGGCTGATGCTAAATTTATGATCAGATGCCCTAGTAATTGCCAATAGCATAAACAGCCTATGTTGCTAATTAATGACAATGGTAACTAACAAGTGTAGAGCTTTTTTCAGTTTATCAAGCATTTTTTATATCCATTACCACACTGTATTTTTATTGTAACCCTGAAAGACAGGTCCTACCACTGGTTTTCTTTTAGGAACAAAAGAAATAAAGGCTCAGAATTGCTAAGGAGCAGACCAAGATGGTGCATACAGTAAGGAATAGTTAGAACTCAAACTCACGTTTCCTGACATAAAATTTCATGTCCCTTCCACTAAATATTTTTTGTCGCTTCTAGTTAAATATCAACCCAAAGTAAAATTCTCTCATGGAAAAGGCAGCTTTGGTTTGGGGACCAATAAAGGTTTTATTTTGGCAATCTTTAGTCAACAACGTGAAGGAAGATGGGAAGAAGAAGGAAGGGTGACCTGAATATACGATTTTCTTATGAATATACAGGCTGGATCCTGTCAGCCTCTGTGGCTATTATAAGAAAGAAAATTGGCCTCTTCATGACCATTTATACTAATCATTAAGAAGCCAGAGTTTGACATCATAGAATATATACCAAAATATTTTCTCAAAATGCCTAAAGGAGATTTAGAAACTATTCTTTTTTCCTTAAAAAATTTCATCATGAGTTTCATACTTCTATAATGATTTTTATTGCCATCAACATATCCCTTCCCGGCACAATTACTAGAAAGTCCTCTTGGGATAGACATAATTTCCTAACTCTCTTCCATTGGTTGGGGACAAAAAGGTTCTGCCAGGTGAGGAAGTCTCCACTCAGGGTCAATAATCTAATTCTACTGAGGAAACTGTTGGTATTTATTCAACAGACTTTCAGAGGTAGGGCAATTAGGGATTCCATAACTTGGCTACAGAAAACAATACACTGATTGCCTTCTAATTTGCCTTTTTGGCCTAAATTTATACATTCCTCATTTTATTCATTTACTCATGTATGCCGCTAGTGTTGATAGGATGAGTTAACTCCAAAAGGCAGCAAAAAATATGTGATTCTTGAAGAAACAGCAGCTACTGTTAAACTGCTCTTCAAGGCCTATCCTTATGTAAATAACAAAACCATTTTACAAGTGTCAAAGAACTTAGTCTTTTGAGGAGAGAATCTTCATGCTGGGCATATTAAGCCTATATATTCCAATATTATAAGTGCCAGGGACTTAGGATTGATTTATCCCTGGGCACGGTGGCTCACACCTGTAATCCCAGTGCTCTAGGAGGCTGAGGTGAAAGCGTCACTTATTAAGGCCAGGTGTTCAAGACCTGCCTGAGGAACACAGTGAGCTCTCATCTCTATAAAAAAAAAATCAGTAAGTTTAAAATATGTATTTTATATATATTTAAGTATGTATAAATTTATGAATGTTTTATATAAATAGAATTTTAATAAATAATTTATATAAATATATATAAAGAGATTTCACATAGATAGGTATTGATATACCCCTAAAAGAAAGAAGGAAATAAATTCTGCTGAGCAGTCCAGGGAATAAATACCAAAATATATAAATAAGTAAATAAATAAATGGATTGATTTATACATGTTAAATAATGTTGTAATTCCTGAATTAAAGGCCATTCTATAGACAAACTAATTTTTTTTTGACAAGGCAAATAGTAGAATGAGAAAGTCAAATGACCTAAGAAAATTTATTAAAATTTTCCCCAGTAGAGTGCCATAGTCCTTGTGTATTTCTGAGGAACTTTAAATAAAGTCATTTAGGATGATTGAGGTTTTCTAGGTGCAAGCCAGTGATATTAACATTCTTTTCCCACAGGTTGATGGTAGTGTGCGACCTGAGGCATACGACTTTGGTATTTACCTGAAAGAGAAACCACTTGATTATCTCGAAACCAGACAGTGCCTTAACAATAGGTTAGAAAGAGATTGCATTAGAAGAGACCACTGTAATATTTACAGAACAATCATTTGTCAATCCAATAAATAACTATTGAATGAACGGCCATAAAGGATAAGGACCAATGTTAAGTGCTAGAGATACAGCAGTAAATCAGAGGAGCTATTTGCCCTCACTGAGCCTATGGTCTAGAAGAAAAGAGAGATATAAATGAATCACAGAGAAATTATATATTGAGAATTTCTCTGGGTACTTTAATCAAAAATCAGAAAGCGGGTATTAGGAGATAGGACTCAGACGACATAAGGCAGGTGGTCCGGGGAGCTGAGTGGTCAAAACAGGCTTCCTAAGTTCCTTTTAAGGAGAGGCCTAAAACAGTGAGTAGGTATTAACTCGGTAAAGACTACAGGGCCGTGTGTGTGTGTGCCCATGTATGTCAGGGCATGCCTCATTGAGAGGAGGAGTTGAGTGTTCCAGAAAGAGGGGATAGAAATCTTTAATGGCACAATGGAAAAAAGAGAGAAGATCTATGGGACTGGAGTAGCAATTTGGTATCTGAGGGGAGAGAAGGTGGAAAACAGAATACAGACAAGTTCCTGCCGGCCTTACAGGCTGTTTTAAGAGTAATGAGTATCAACTTAAAAGCAGGAATAAACCTTTGAAGTAGGAAAGTTGCTGGGAATACTCTGAACCCCTCTGTGGTGACTGAGCAACCCCAAGCCTCTGGAAGAATTGGCAAAACCCAAGCTACCTAAGAAGAAATTGTTGTTAATTTTTAACCTGTAAATTCTCTTAGAATTTGGTTTCCCTGAAATGAGTTATTTGCTCTGTGATGCTTGTTACTTACTGTATCGATTATATTTGAGAAAATGAACGATAATGTGAAATGTAGAGATGTAACTTGTCTTTGGCCTGCTGAGCTGCAACTTGTAACTTTGGCTCTGCTGAGCTATTCTGGTAAAAACAGGAACTCTGTGAAAGGGACTAACCACATAACTTGACTGCCGGAGAGAGATGACAGCGCGTAATGGGCTTCTTGTTGCAGAGAGCCTATAAATGGATGTGTAATGGAGAGGCTTATTACCTAGATTCCTTTCCCAGGAAAGGCATATTGATTAGGGTCCTGGAAAGGGAACACAACCCTTATGGAGAGCCTATTAACGGATGCGTGAGGGGCGTCTGTCTCTGTGGTTGATGAGGATGTAAAAGTCTTTCTTCATCCACTGCTCCTCCAGGCCTGCATGGAGGCCCCCTCCTCTTGCAGTTTTTGTGGTCAGGCTGGTTGCCCTGTGTCAGATCCTGTTCCCCCTGTAGCTGTGAGCCCAATATGTTCTTGCTGATAATCATAAGTTTATGTTTAACCTACAATCTTGCTAAGGTGCGTGATTTCTATGCTGACACACAGAAAGTTATTTTTACATTGTTCTGCTTTTATAATACCACGTTGTGATTTTTGTGCACCAGTTTTTGCAAATGTGTATTCCTTTTGTATGATTATCACTGAAACTTTGCGTAACTTCGCTCCTCCTCCCCTATTGAAAGAGCATGATAAAAAACTGAGGCTTTCAGGGGAATGTCAGACATCCACTGAGCAGCATTATGTGGTGTCTCCCCTGGGCTCAACTTTAAGGAAAACTTTTTCCTTGTCTCTCTTTCTTTTTCACCTACCACTCCATCACTTTGAGAGATCTTAAACCCACGTCGATATATTGGGAGCTGGTCTCGCCAATAGAAAGTAATGTCATCCAATTTGTATTGTTTTTTTAAATTACTCTAGCTGCAGACTGGATTGAGGAAAGCAACAGTGAATGCAGAGAGACTAGTTGGAGGCTATTGCTGGAACATATAAAAGATTACAGTTTTGACTGAAGATGTGGTAGTGTAGATGGAGAAAAGTGGATGGACTATACAGCACTTGGAAACTCATTGCATATGAAGGTGGAAGACTTGTAGGTTTTACACTAGTGACTCTTTGGAGGCAGATGCCACTACTTAGATGGGAAACCCAGCAAGAGATATTCAGGGCCTACAAGTCTTGAAACTAAATTACACACACACACACACACACACACACACACACATAAATTATAACTGTCAACGTTATAGGAATGTAATATAAAAACAAGCTATACTGAAATGTAAAAGTATATCAATACATCAAATTTCTTTGAGTACTTCAACTAATATTTATAAGCAATTTGCTTTTTAAAGTGCTGTTCTAACATGAATATTGGTTTAAATTTTCATAGCACACTTTAGAATACTCTCATAGTAAAAAAAAAAAAAAAGAAGAAGAAGAAGAAAAAGAAAGAGCTTTTAAACCTATATCTCAGATATTGGCTTTCCAGATAAAAGAGACTTGGTCTTGCCCATATTCAACAGGAATGTGAGAAAGTTCAAGCTGGTTTGTCCCAATGAATATTTTTAACTGTCTCGTTCCTCTCAGGGATATAGATCCTAAAGAGCTTCCACCACTGAATGTAGCATTTAAATTTTAAAACAATGTTACACTACTAGGTAGTTATTTGACAATATAACTAGGATCTGGAAAATGGATGTGAGTTGGGGAAGGCTTCTAGGTTTTGATCATGAGTAAAACAACAGTAAAAATTGTAAAAATGACAGCAACTTTATAGAAATTTTACAGTTTCCAGAACACATCTTCATAATCTCATTTGATTACAGTTGGTATATTTCTCACAGGGAAAACATGATGATAAGCTAAAATCCTACAAAATGCACTGAATTTTAGAGCTAAATAACTTGTGTGCCCCCTTAAAGCTTGAGAAAAAAAACAGTAAGTTGAAGATAATTTAAAGACGTTCTGCTTGACGCAGTGGAAAGCAAACTTTGCCAAACCAAGAAACACTTTTTTCCCCAAGAAAATAGCCCAAGCCAACATTTATTTAAAAGATTGAAATAGATTAAAAGATGACACATCTACAGTGACTTATTAAGGGAAACCCAGGATTTCGAGGGCATAGTCCCTAACATTTATGGTGGATGCCAAGGAAGATTAAAAACCTGCTCTCCCACAACACAGCTGTTTATGCCTCTGTCATCAATAGTTTAGGCTGGACGGACAAAAGGTCTGCTCCAAATTGGCAAGCCTTATGTTCTTATTATGTGTGTTTCATCACTGTGTTCTAGAAGAAGAAAGACCATCACCACCAACCAACATCCTCTCATTCTGGTGTCATCTAAAAATACCTGCAGACAGTATTACCCTGCGATTACCTCACACGCCTGCCCATCAGCCATAGCCACCTCCTACCTCCCGCTCACTAATAGCACAGTCCTGTATCACCTCCTACTCAGCCAAGCAACACTACTGTAGCTGCTTTAGATACACTCATATCTATATATATAGTCTCATATATAAATATATATTCAGACATATACTCATGTGCACACAAAAATGCTTTTACAAAAGAAAAAGGGAAAGCTAGTTATGTGAAAGTAGCTGCACTTTGGAAAGTTAGTGTGATATGCCATTTGGAAAATAGTTCCTGTTCCGTCTGGGTTTTCACCCAAATGCCTACAGAAAAGCATTTAATCATCTCAGACATGAGCAGTATTTGGTTTTATTAACTCTTGACTCTTGAGCAATTGGAGCCCCCATTTTCTAAGTCCATTTATCAGGTCTTCTATTTCCCTCTTTTAATATTATAACATTATAAATTTAATATTTATAATATTGTAGTACAAGTTTTGAACCAGTCTGGAGCATTTTCTATTTTAAGAATGTATTTATGGATACTGTACTCATCATTCAACAAATATAGATTCCACTGCTACCTGTTTTTACTGTTTTTTATTATTATTATTTAGTAAATCACTGAGGTAATGGTATATCATTTTGGGACAGAAATTAGTAAGATGGAAAGGAATCAAGAGCAGGTACAGGGGAAGGGAAGCAGAAACAGGACTGGGAGAGATCTGTCTCTGATAGCAACAGCAGGCAAAACCTCTATTAGCATAATCAGAGCAACCATGGCTTACTGCAGGGATCAGGGAGCCTGTGACTCTCAACTCAGCTGCACCTAGCAACAAGCCCAAATGAGCACCATGGAGTAGCACCTAGGGCTGTGAGCAGGAACTGAGATCACAGCCGGGAAAGCACTTTGAGGGTGAAAATGGCATCAGCCTGCAGGGGAACGTCTCCATGATGGTCCCATAATATAATTGATAGTGATCATTCGTATAATGGTGATTGAGCAGACAATAGAATGGGCACTGTGCAGACAGGACTAGGCTAGTTGCCAGAAACCCAGGACTCAAATCCTGACTCGGACGCTAAATTGCTCCGTGACTTTGAGCAAATCTCTTCAAATCGCTGAGCCTCAGTTTTTCCCATCTGAGCAATAGTTACCTCTCCCATTTGCCTGACAAAGTTATTGTAAATATTTAATTAGAATTGTATCTGAAATGCTCTAGGAAGTATAGCACAGGATATGGCTGTACATTTATGACTGAAAGACTGTGAATCCTGACTCTGTATTGGTCCATTCTCATGCTGCCTGGGACCAGGTAATTTATAAAGGAAAGAGATTTAATTTACTTATAGTTCAGGATGACTCGGGAAGCCTCCGGAAACTTACAATCAAGGCAGAAGGGGAAGTAAAGACATCCTTCACCTGATGGCAGGAAGAAGTGCTGAGTGAAGCGGGGGCAGGGAGGGAAAGCCCTTATAAAAGCATCAGATCTTGCGAGAACTCACTCACTATACCGAGAACAGCGTGGGGGAACTGCCCCCATAGTCTAATCACCTCCTACAAGGCTCCTTCCATGACATGTGGGGATTATGGGAACTACAGCTCTAGAGGAGATTTGGGTGAGGACACAGCCAAACCATATCCAGCTCCACCTGGATACCATCCACGTCCCAGACTAAAATAAGTATCTTCCACTGCCCGCGGCTTTTCTCAGTGACACCATGTTACTGGAACGTAAGCTCCACAGGGACAGGTATTTGGAACAACGCCAGGCATACAGGGGGTCCTCAATCAATATGCATTTTATGAATAAATGACTCAACTAAATTGCCCAAATAAGGGCATGTTATTGGTGATGTTTTCTTGTTTTTCATTCTGACACATCTAATAAACACCTCCAGGTGGCTATAACACCTGGTTTCCTCAGTGACACACAGTGTTGTGCTAATAAATGCTTAACAATTGGCTCTCAGGGAAATATTTCTGGCATTTGCCACTTTTCATGGTGTATATTCCCACTGTGACTGATTTCAAGCTACCACCATGATTACATTTGGAGTTGGGAAGAGACGCCCCCCATCGAAGTGCGTGGGCTGGTGTGAGTCAGCTCCAGCTCACCACAGCCTCCGCTGCTCTCATCCTAGTTAAGACGCTCACCTCTAGCAGCTTGGCTTGACTCCTGGATGTTCCTCATTATACCCATCATCCACACAGCCATCAGCATGGTCTTTCAAACACAAGCACCTGATCACGTTTTTTTTTTCCCACTTAAAAACCCTCTGGCTAACATAATAAACCTCAAATACATAGTATGACAGACAAGGCGTTTCCCAGTCTGAAGGCAGTTTACTGAGCCTCTTCACTCCCAACCTGGGTGCTAGCCACACTGAACACAGTTCCTGCATTTTTATATCTCTCTGATTTTGATCATGCTGTTCTCACTTCCAGGAAAGGTACCTCCCTTTCCTCTCCACATGACAGACCACCTGCCTATTCTACAGGCCCAAATGAAGAAGGACTTCCACATCAAAGCTTTCTCTAATCATTGCAAGTATTTCCTCTTTACCCCTCATTTACCAGCCCCAGGTAGAATGAATTTCTCCCTTATTTGCATCTTCACATCTTTGTATTCCTACTTCAATGATAACAAGTATCAACTTGTATTATAGTTACTTGCTTATTTCTCTCTCCCTTCTGCTGTTCTATGAGCTCCCCTTAAGCAGGACCTGGTCCTTTATGAACACTCAGCAGGTATTGAAGCACTTGGTTGAGGTCCTTCAACACTTTGCTTTGCGACTCAAAGTTCTCTATAGTTCAGCAGCATTAAGTCCACCTGGGAACTTTTTCAAATGCAGTGTCTCAGGCCTCACCCAGACCCTACTAAGGCAGAATTTGCATTTTTAAAAGATGACTTTACGATTCATAGGTACATTAAATTTTAAAAAGTTCTAGCTCAAAGAAAAATAACTAGGGCCAATTATTGATGAACTTGACAACTAGGCAAAGATATTAGTATTTTTGGGAAATAGAAATCAATTAACAGTCCTTGAAGTGAAGAAATATAGCAAGAATACTACCAATTGACAATTAATATCTCAGCTTGGTGCAATGATTTAAAACAATAATGTTAAAGCAGTGGTTCTCAACTGAGGGCGATTTATTTCCTCCTCCACCCACCAGAAACTATTTGGCGATGTCTGGAGACATTCGTGGTTGTCACAACTGAGGAAATGCCCCTGGTATCTAGTAGCCAGAGGTCATGGATGTTGCTAAACATCCTAAGGAAATGCCCCTGGGATCTAGTAGCCAGAGGTCATGGATGTTGCTAAACATCCTAAGATGCGCTGAACAGCCCTTCACAATGAAGACTCATCCAGTCCAAAATGTTAATAGTGCAGAGGTTGAAAAACCGAGGCATAGAGGAAGGAAAAACAGGAAGCTGACGAAATAATGCAGGCATATAATTATGAACCAAGGCCAGTGTCAGGGAAGTGCTCGGTCAGCTCAAAGGAGGGAAAAGAATTAGAGTTGCTTCAAATAAATTGGCAGAATTTAATGACAAAGGGTGAAAGAGAGAAATCAGAAAATGGCTCCTAGTTTTTTCCTTTGGATAAAAGCAAGAATGGCAGCCACACTGGCAATAATTGGAACAGCTGTCATTTCCCTTTTGGACAGAAAGAGATGTATTGAAGCAAGATGCAGAAAGAACTAGGCAAATCAGAAGGATCCTTATTTTACTACACTTATTTACTGAGCACCTACTATGTTACTGAGCTGTGTGCTTTAACTCGTGACCATATTCAATCCTCCTACAACAACCCTTAAAGTCAAAATTGATAGCATGTTCCTACTGAAGCAACTGAGGCTCAGAGAAGTTACTTAACTTGCTACATTAAGAATTAGGCCTCAAACCCACAACTTCTGACTCAATATGCTCTCCTCTCTGATAGACATAGCAAGAGAATTCTATCAATTGCTGCTGATTAATCATAGTATGGCTGCCTATATGAATAGGCATTCAGAGGCATGTCTGCACTCATCAGCAATGACCATAATCATTAATTA